CTGAGTGTATGAGTCGAGCTTATTTCCTTTTTCGAAGGAACCTCCTCATTTTTTTGTCAGCGTGGAGCATTTTTCAGTGCAGCTCAAAGTAATGGCTCTGGAGTTAAAAATACAAGACAAATCCATTCATAGTTACTGAAGGACAAGTCAATTCAAACAATTGTCAGAGACAATATAACTGTTGGTTTGAAGCTTCGTAATTCATTCTGATAGACTTTTGCTGGATAGGCTCCAGTGTGAAATCCTAAGTCTACAGAGGGCACTGTACCACATTTTGAGTTAAAGCAATCTTTCAGCGATCCGACGTTCAAGCATACCGTGTTAAAGGCCAGCATGATGCGACCAAGCGGGTCGTTGAACTCGGTTGACTAGGTAGCTCTGACTTCAAAGAATCGGTTCCCATATTTGTTCCGACATTGATCTGATTTCCAATTTGCCCAGTATTCGATTGCATCGATTGGTTTACTTCCATGAATTTTCTTCCAAAGGTAGTTAGCATTTGATAATGGACTTGTTTGATGGATTATACCTTCTCTGCTCGAGTAGTTTTTCGGTGGGTTGCTGTGGGTCTGGAAAATTGACACTAGCTAAATTCACAAAACCAGATAAAACATCCACAGTCTGGTCTTATCCAACGGACACTGAGAGATAATATGTAAAGAAGTTCAAAATGCATCGATTTCACCTATGCTCTATTATGGGGGCTGGATGTACTGAGGATTGATCTATCTTCAGCTATCTATTAGAAGGTTTTGGTGTTTGGAGCCGGTGCAATCGCAAGGGTTCTTAGATATCTTCATACAAGAATACGTTATCAAAACGTGTCAAAATGGTGAAATTACGTGTGTGGGTGTGTATCGAAACACGACAAAGCCCATTATGTCTTCGAAATAGCATGACAACGAACCCGAGTACATCGTGTAGAAACACTCACCCCAGGAACTGTGGTAGGTGCGATAGTGGTGTGACTGGATGCACGTAATATGTAGTCAGTTTCTTTAAAGGAGATTTCCTTTTGGAACTGCGTTCATTTTGTGCGAACCGAACTCGAATGCCATGTTTTTTTTACATAAACAAGCGCAGTGGTAGATTGACTCAAGTGTTACGACGAGCTTGTTTGAATGAACTAATATGGTTTACGTAGATCGATGGATCAGCTGTAACGTTTTCCGGTACCATTCATCTGATTTGGCGGTGTGATGAGGATGCAAGCGACCTGTATGACTGTGAACAGCGGAAGTGAAGGTGGTTGTTATCCATCACTGCCCGGTTTTGGCTTTCACTCTGAAAATTTTTTGTTGTCACGTAGCTCGTTCAATAACAAGGTGTTGATTTTTCACAACTGTTAGTTATGTGGATTTTACTGTGGAATCCCATTCACAACAGTCTAAAAATTTAGTTTATAGGCTTCATTTTGCTCTGTGTTGAACACCTTTCCCTCCAGGTACGCTCAAGGTTAGGTTAGAGTCAGGAGAGCGAAATGAAACGCATATGAACGTGTACATTTGTGTGTACTGAACAGCCACCGAGTGATATTGCCTGCATTGCTGTTACCGCTTTTATGTAAGGCTCTAAGTTCATTCGAAAGCTGGTATGTGTGACGGGTAGACTGAGTACACAAAAACGACCAATCAACAATAAAGTAGGGCACAGTTCACAGTCTCCAAAAACCTATCTTCATTTATTCATTGGTTTCTGGTGAATCTTTCAACAGCTCCTCACTGTCCCGGAAAGTCGATAATAGTTCATTCAGGTAATGTGTTGAAATATTGTTAGCTCGGGTAAGCTGATTGGTTGTTGATGAGGTGGCCGTTTATCTGTCGGCTGAGCTTGACAATGGACTTGCAAACTTTCCGTCACTGCACGATGAGGTATCATCAGTGTGGCTACGTTTACGTCAACTACTTTCATTTGCACATTAATTTGATTTTGATGGGATGCCGAAGTGAATTCAGCTGAAGCCCTCGTTTATGATGTCTTCAACTGAATGTGCTGCACCAGGCTGCACCATGTTTCACTTGGCACGATAATTAATACATCACAACACATTGTTTAAACGTAACGCACTATCCGAAGAACTTTAAGAAAAGCGAAACAGATCATGGGCTGTTCAAGAATTTCCGGCGAACTTTAGAGTGGTGCGTTACGTCTAGACGAGGCTTTGTCTTGATAGCGCCAGCTAACGAAACGCACCTGACAGTACCGCAAAACAGTTTTTTTAATTCGAAATCTGACCAAAATCTTTTCAATTATGATACGTCTGAGTGTCAACAACTCAAATTCGGTCTTCCTTCAGAAATCCAGTTCGTCTCTGTTGTGTTTTTCTGTTTTATTTGCCTAGCGCCGATGTCAGGAAACGAATCTTCCATATACAATTTTCCTATTGTTTCTGTCTTTCAGTATCACTCTGTCGCATTCGTTGTAGGGCATTTTTCCTGTCGGGTTGAGTTTCCAGTGCGCAGATGCATCCTTTAGTTTAGCTGCCTTGTAACAAAGTCTACATGGACAAGTCATAAATGAACTTTGATGTAGTGGGGACATATTTACGGGATTAATCTTTTCTGGATGATGACCTTTTGAATGTCTGGAAGACAACGAATGCATAAAGAAGGAGAATGGAAGGAAAGTAATATGTGCCTACATATAGTTCGTGATGTGAGCACATCCCGATGGAACTTAGTCTCTCTTTGGAGGGATGAGGTTAAGAGATATCAAACGATCTGTCACCAAATAGAAGAAACGGATCTTTTGGGTTAACTGGATTCCTCTCCAAAACTGGTGTATTTTGGTTAGAAGCCTTTATTGGTCCAAGATGAACTCAGCTCTCTTGCCTCAATATAAGTGCGTAACCAGGGGAAAGCACATCTCGCGAAGTACACATTGTTTTAGCTCATTTCTCACTGCACCAGAATTTTTTGACTACCTGATAGTAAAAAACTCCAACTCTTAGCTTGTAATGCTCCATTCTGTGCAACAATGTGTTTTTTGACAGGTCGCAGTCTCCAGCACAATCCGGGATTAGACAGAAAGTTAACTAAATGGGAACATATGATAGGTTCACGCATAACCAGAGCTGATGCTGAAGGTGCCGGGGCGCATAAGTGGACCGGTGGAGGGAGAGGAGATGCGCATGCCATCATACTGCGTTCAGGTGCAGGCGCGGCAGCAGGTGCCAAAGGTCTTGGAGTTGCTGCCACCGTTGGACGTGGAGACCCGAGTTCAATTTTGCAAGGGATCGGACCAATTTTTGGACCTGAAACTGAATTTATCGAGCATCGTTTTCAAGAATTTGGGAATCAACTCAGTCGTTTCTCTGGAATGGAGGAAAGGCTATCGAAAATGGTCCAGGCTGCCAATAGCTTGGTTAGAACAATGAAACAGGTTACACAACAGCAAGCCCAGGTATGCTCACTACTTGGCCTCTGTTTATAGAAAAAAACTGCTCTTCGTGACAACCGTTATAGAAAAAAAAGTGCTCTTCTGTGACAACCGAACCAATGTAATCCACAAATGGCTTAGAACCACCTGTTTTAAGGTTAACGAAACGCTAATGACGCACTTGCAAACATATGAAAATTTTACTACAATATTCGATAGTTTTGAAGCAGCTTGTTTGATTTTCAGGGTCGATGGATTGTTCAAGAAAACCATCCTACTGCACAGCAGATCGAAATCTGTCAAACCAAAATCGGTTTGAGTAAAAACAAAACTCACTTTGACCTAGCTAGTTAAGACTAGAGTTTTTCGATTCGATATATATTTTTAGGTGCAACAAAGTATGAGTATTACTTGCATCTTTCTTAATGGGCTCGGGATATCTAGGTAGTCTTGCCAGCTTCTTTGCGTGAATGTATTCACGGTCTAGACTCAACAGGTATACTCCGAAACTCAACATTTACGCAATGTGTGCTAACAATTTCACTAAGTGTGACCGTTAAAGCGACGTTCCAAAATACCGAGTGATTATCTAGCGATCGTCCACATTCTGGCCATTCCCGCTAAGCACCGTGTTCATCTGATCAGTTTTAACAACGCGGTGAGCGAAACACAGCTGTGGGATTAATCCATTCCGTGCCATCTCATCTGACGCAAAAAGTGCAAAAGTGGTACAAAAGAACAAAATAAATTTCAAAATAATATTCTCAAGGAAACCTCACATAACATGACTCAACGAAAAAAAACAAGACATTCCACGGGATTATGCTCAGGTTTACCTGAGCTCATAGCATCGGATGCAGTTGGTCACTCAATAATGTCTCGAGGAATCTCAACCTCCTTGATCAGCTGTTCCGCTCACTGACATCCAATAACGACCGGGTTGCAATCAAGTGCCCGAAAATCAACGAATAGAGATTTTGTCGGATTAAATCAAGTTTTTTTCTGTACCAATAATGTCATTTGGGCTCCATCTCAAGTAGGTCAAGGATTCATCTTCATGGCCTATTGGGATCCATCTTGTGAATCAAAGTTTACCTGGACATCGTCATAGACAGGGAGACACAGATCCTTTCTCGTGCACCACTATGATCCCAAGCCTTCTTCAAGAGCACATCTTCTGTAGTGCATAAGAATGATACCAACCGAACGGGTGCTATTGAAGTTTCGAACCATCAACCATCATGCCAAGAATGAACAGTATAATCATCAAACCCAAAACCATGGCATGAGCAAACTAGTCTGATTTTCTCACAATCCTATATTACTGGTGGTTTGTTAGTCAAGCTCACAACATCATTACCAGTTTCTTATCAGTTTTACTTCGCTTGACGCATTTTGTAGAATTGATTCATCTTGCAGGGCTATTATTCTTAGTGTACTGTTCCATCCAGGAGCAATGCTTTACCACATTGAGTAGGGAAGCAGTGAAAAAAATCATTCAGCTGTAGCACCCTTTCGTGCCCAACTGCCCCCTCACCCGAAGGAAGCACGAGGAATGGGATACTGCCAGGTAGTCCAAGCCCAGACAAGGAAAGTCAAGAGGCATAGGTCGAGTTCGAACCATGGACGTTCCGGTCAGTAAATCCGCGCTGTGCCATCTTGCCCCCCTGGAAAGCAGTGAAGAGGTAAATGGACACATCGCCACCAACGTTTTGCTGGAAGTGGCTGAAAGGTGTTGAGACTTCTGAGTTGGCTGTTCAACGTAGCGGAGGGATAGTGTCATTCTCAGAAAAACGTGAGTGTGGCACTGGCTAGGCAGCAAAAACGTTTCGGCGTTTCCTCTGAACATAAAGGTTTGGATTGTGTAACTGGATAGCGATAAACATCGTTCTGGAAAGCATTCAGTATGCGCTGGGTGATCCAAGAGGTTTCATTAACTTGTGCAACAAGAGATGCTCTGGTCTGGTGCAGTGCAATGGTGCTCAAGTCGACTCTTCGGCTTCCCCAAGCTCGAGAGGAAAGACAATGTTTGCGTATTTCTTCAAGCTAGTATTCAAGTATGCAACCAAAATAAAGTGCATGGCAGGAGTATGAGATTACATATAGTAGTTGGTGGAAGCTATTGACGTTTCAACTTTCACCGGTGGCCTGATTATGTGGGAGGAACTGAGACCTAAACAAAGCTTAAGACCTGGCAATTTATAAGTCTTCTGGGCAGCGTTTCAGCGGTCGCTCCTCTCTTTCAATGGATGGGAGGTAAACATAAGGCAGCGTTTAGAATACCTAATATATCATATTTTTTCAGTCTCAAATGTTCCAATTGTTTGGACGGACATTCTATAGGTATACATGTTCTACGAACCCAAGCTCTCACTACAAACAGTTACTTGGATAAATCTCAATTGCTAATTTTGCGAGACATCTGATGAAAATTCTCTTCTGTTTCAAACATAAAAACATCTGGAACTCAGATACCAACCGGCCCGGTTTTTCACCGAGCTAGCAGCTCTCCACTCTAAATTCTCTTGATATAAATATCCAAGTAATTAGGGGATATGTTGTAGAGAGAAGATAATGTTTTGACAAGCTGAGTTAATAACACTTAGTGCGTTTTTCACGTTGAACTTTTCATCCGTTTTGAGGGATGGGCAATACTGGACAATATGGGTTCGAGTTTGTTCATAAGTATAACAAGAAGAATGGGATCGTTTTCCTTCAACTCGCTGCCACCCTCAACTTAACATCTTGTGTGTAGCGTACCAGTAGGGTTCAAGTTCTGTGGTGAATATATGACTATCAATGTAACGTAGTAATAGGCATAGGCCAGCATTCACTCGTTTATACATTCGTAAGAACGCATAGAAAGAACTTTCTCGCTTAGATGAATGAGTGTTTAACGCAACATCATAAAACACTTTAATTTGCCCCCCCGCCTCCAAAAAGGAAACACAGGAGCCTTTTAAACGGCAAGATTGTAAACAATTGCCGTTCTTGTGTGCGATCCACAGACGGGTAACAACAGGATGTATTTGAATGGAGCAACTATCTAAAGGGAGAGCGACCTGTTTACGTAATTTTCACTGTACCCAGATTGAAGTTGAAAAGGGCGCCGTCATGCATCACTGTTGAGGAAGAACGTCGTTTTGATTCGTGGTTCTTGCTTGTTAGTGTCCTTACAAGCTATTCTCTTGCACAAATTTCAGGTTTCGCCTGCGAACCCTTGCTAATTGTAAGAAGTCGAAACCGTGTACATTCGGTGCACCAAATCAAGTACTTCGATAGGGCTGGCCGACCAAAGGCATGATATCTGAACGGAAACTGAGCTTCTAATTCTACCAGTTAACTAGACGGGAAAAATGTTCATAAATTCAGCTGGAGAGTTGCTACTAGTGTGTGATATCCTCAATGGACCTTGGAATGAATATATACATAATAGTCCATCATAGATCATAGGAGATGGTCTGCAAACAGCAGGCTCGAAATAGGTTTAGACAGACGAATTTTCGATACAGCTGGTGCTCCGTTAGTTACTTAACTGCCTGTTCCGGATCCCCTTGATATAATTTCTACTGTACAGCAAACTTGAAAGTTGATGGTCTGGGACTGAAAGATTTGTAGTCCCAATATAATTGGCTCAAGTAAACCGGCGAGCCAGTGGGTCAGATCATGATAAGGCGAATCAAACATGATCAGGAGTAAACAGATTAGGACTGTTGGGAGACCCTACAAAATGGGACCTGTCTTTCCAGATGGGTGGATGCACATAAATTTTACATGATGAAGCTGCCTGGTCTATTTCATGAAATTCCAAATGGACTTTCTCAAAAGCCTGTACTTTTCCTTTTTAATGTGTCATACTTTGGAAGTTAGGCTTACGAGGTGGACTACTATTCGTTCTGACCAGGTAATTACGTATAACTCCTTGAATATTCCATATCTCACCATAAACGATATAGGATTTGATCATTCAGTTTCAAGGATTCCAACACGTCTGCGCGTTGTCACTTTAATAATAGTCTTCAAGCTGAATTGACAGTCGGGCAGTTAACTATACAGACTCCCAAAAAGCTTGATTTTATGACGAGGAACAGAAGAGTTCGGCCCAGCGGTTGTGTCCAAAAAACGTTTTATTCATACAGACCGAGGTGAAATTCGCACACGTTCTACTTTGATGGAAGCAAATGCAGCCAGGACCGCTAACTATTATTCACTACCCATTTTATGTTCACCAAATCTAACGGGCAGGAGAGCCAACCAAGTCTAACAGATAATGTTTTTCAGTCAAACTAATTGGTAATATTTTTATGACAGGGTATGAGCAAAATCATTGTTTATATGGAGCGATATATTTCCCCATATTTTTTTTATTTTTGGTATTTCCAACCTGTTAAAAGAGACCACTTTTTCTCGGTCACCTACGATAGCCTCTCTAGAGGCGAGAGGTGTATTGTTATAATATCGTAGGTTGGTCCCATCACAGAGGACAGTCTGTGTGGAATGCTTGGGTTTTAGCCGACAATTCGTAATTGGCGACAAATTATATTTGGTTTGGAAATGTGGTAACCCTGCATACAACTCCCACCAATATACAGTTAAACAGGAAAGTCAGTGTAAAAACGTGTTTAGTTGCCCGTGAACTAATGAGTGTTTTTATTTCATAAATATTCCATTTAGATGATTCTGACCTTGAAGCCAACAGATGGCCGGCGACTGGTCGGTCGCGGGCGGAAACGTGAAGGTTCGACAAGCACTAATCTAATCCTAGAAGCAGTTACCAAAGCGGTGGCTGGTTTGGGATCACATTGCAGTGATATCGAAGAAAGAATTGAAGAAAAGTGAGCGATTCTACACAATGAACAACGGCAGCTTTCTTCCTGGGCGAAATCCACTTCAGGTTAACTATATCTCCAAATGTGTCCAACCACTGAATTCTCTCTAAAGATTAATCAGTCGAGTAGATTTGTTGCATTATCTTCAGGACATGAGGTTTTCAAAGGCTTACTTTTTCAGGAGTCTCGAATTTTATTACGCGCAGACGGTTTTACAACCGTTTACTACTACTGATTATATATATATATATATATATATTCAGAGATACCTCATGATATTGTCCTCTCAAATGAACCGCGACGTCATGTGCAGAACAAATATTTCGAGATTTGTCAACAGACTGGTGAAGAATACCACAAGTCTAGAGATGCCTCCACGTTTGTCTCTCAAGCACATGATTGTTTGACTCGTCTTATATATGGGTATATTCGTTTCAAGAGCCTGTGTAAAGTTTACTCGGAATTAAGGTTCAGTGACCGTTAGGTAGGTTCATTCATAAAACACAGTTTTATTATCCACTGAGCTGTTGGTTCAATAAGAAATATCTCTGGTTTTGTTACCCATAACCCAATAGGGCATTTTGTTCCTTTTTCCGGCCCAATTTTAATTTTGGAAAGCGTTTGGTTAGCATAGGACTTGTAAAATCGTGTGAAACTCATGATGTTTGCACGCACAGACACCTCAGGAACCGATTTTCGCAAGGTATAACTATTCGTTTATATTTCAGAATACGCATAGAAGAACAGTGTGTAAAAGCTGTACTCACGAGAACGAACGCGGAAGAATTAGAGCCGGACGTTGTGTTGGAAGCGAAACAACAAGGACCACCATCACGCGGTCCACGGGGGGCACCAACGACTGGGAAGATTTTGGAAAGGCTGCTTATAAGTCACCGCCTGTGGAGGATTGTTCCATTCAACTTCGAAATTTACCCTGGAATACGTATGAATGTACCACAAGACAAGTTGAATTGGAAAGTGAGCCTTTTCTCCTAGCCAAAGAGTTTACATTACTTGCACAACCTTTCGCGACTCCCTTCTCGATCGATGGGATTTAAATTTATCAAGCCTTGAAACCGTCTGCCCAGGAACCATAGGCATTTTGTGTCATATGTGCACAGTTAGACCCACTAGTGTATGCGTTTCTGGAAATGGCACGTGCTATCCCACAAGTTTTTATGAACTTTTAATTTAGCTAACCCACTAGTGTATGCGTTTCTGGAAATGGCACGTGCTATCCCACAAGTTTTTTATGAACTGTATAATTTAGCTAAAATTTGACGGGCAGAAAAATGACTGAACGGTTTCAAGACTGTCGGTTCAATGGTTTCGCATTCGCCTCTTTTTATCAGTGCAAAAACCAGTCACATAGGGGTCACGAATCTTCTCGGGTAGTCGCAAAGACACTGCGTGATTGGCAAGTGTTGTTTAGATGGGCGTTTATTTGGGGTTCCCATAAGGAACCCGATTGCTTCAAATTTACCTTCAGATCTTGGGGTAGATTTTCGGCTGCAGTGACCGATCATTAAGCCTACGTTCCGAATACCAACCCGTACTATTTGTCTACTAGGAAGACAAGTTGGTGAGTCACAAAATGTTGGAATACGGATACATGTGGGTGTGGACAGCACATAGACTGGTACGAATAGAGGACTATTTTCACTTATTTTCACCTCGAGTCTAAGTCATCTCACATTTTACTATTTTTGGGGACGAAAGACTTGCTCTTCTTAAATGCGACCTATCCACTTTCTCAGACATCACGACTTTTGATATTAGTAGAAAAACAGTAAACTATTCTTTACACATATCGCACTCCGAAGCGTTTCTAAATAGAGCTTGTCGGCAAATTGTTTACCACAAAATTTTAATTGATTATAGCTGGCTGTTAGAAGCTATGAGTACCTAAGCATGTCAAGTGTGGTGATCGACTTTCGCCACCTTTTAGCGTCAAAGGATAATAGTTACTTTTGGTGTAAAGAGGTTAGATATTAGCAGCTGAATAAAAAGCAGGGAAACTTGTTCCGCCACATACAGCCTATTCTGGATAGTTGTCTTGACGAATTTTTAGTTGGGTGTTTCCACTAATGTGCTTTGACCTAGCACTGCAGCCAGACCAAGGTGACGCGCTGAAGAGATCAGCATTCTGTGGGTGTAGCCTGGATCCATGAACGAGCATCCGTTCACCCTCCATGTACGGTCTATTTGTGTTAAGTCTGCGTCAACTCCGTCACCGGTCAAAGCGCTACAATAGTAGCACAAACCATTTTTGTTTTTTCATTCTTCTAAGGTGCCCTATCCAGCATATCGGACGTTTCGGATAACGGAAGATCGCCTTTCAGTACCATATGTGGGTATGGATGACGGAGCTGACGTGTAGGTTTGAAGCAGCCCTTTAATACCATGAAGACTGTTTTCTCTGATCCGCCGATCAAATTGGACGTTGTTTGAAGCGTGACTCTTTTCCGTGTGCCCAACATAGGCTTTGGTGAACGGATAACGAAAGCATTGTCCGCAAGTGTGCAGTTGTTGTATCCATGCTCTCAGCTCTTGGCAATTTAAATTTCCCCTGAGATAACCTAGCTGAACTTCACAGGCGGTCTGCCCATTATTATCTGTGCCGGTGACTCTTGTAAGCCCTCCCTGCAGGATTTTCATGGGCTCACTTTATTACTTAACTTCAGTGTCTTCCCACAATCAACTAGTAATTCCCTATGTTGGTTTTGGTGTTTGATTTGGTTAAATACCTAGTGGATACTGACACTCTCTGACACTATCATATCTGTGTTCGCCAAATTCAGTTCCTAAGACCGAGACACATGTTTGTATCAAGGAATCTTGTTTTAAATTCTTCTGCCTTTGCATCCTTCCTCTCCCACTACACCACATTACCATCTTTCCCCTAAACGGAAGGGAAAGACTATGTATTGTTTCTCAGACACCGAAATTCCTATCTAAATGTTATGTACGATCCAACTATATTGTGGTAATCTGTCATACACGAGTACTCCATTGCTTGTGATAGGTTTCGTAAAATCATCTTACACATGGCCAATGAGGCCTTGTGTGATGAGCATTTCCAGGACAGTTAGACATGCTATGCACACTCTCAAAGTTCAATGTTCTCTTCAGTCCTACGTAGAATTCAACTGTTACCTATCCTCCTCGCTTGATTCTTCTAACTATTCTCTTCATTACTACCTGTTCTAAACTAATTTCTTGTAAACTACGTTTTTACTGACTAAATATGTGTACTAGGACTTCGTACAGTGCGTTGCCAATATTCAACAGTTTCTTCGAGCTGGTTTGACTCGAATATTTCATGGTCACTGAATTTTCAATACCCTGTTACCAGAGAAGATTGCAGTTGAGCTCTCCAACTACCGTTCTCGGTAGGTGTAATTAGGAAAAATTTCCTCTGCATAATTCACCGTTGGATGGTTGATGATACGGGGGCTTCTTGGAGACTACCATTGGAATCTAGACCTCAACGTTGTTAGTTTTGAAATGCGGCAAAATGATACTACAAAAAATACTGTAGAACCTAAAAATTAAGGATGTACGAAGGGGGTTCTCATACAAAGAATGCCTGATAAAATTATAACTCTTTTGAAGGCGTTTCCATTGTTAAGGACCTAATAATATGACAAAAAATAGACTAAAAATAAATATAAATAAATAAATAAATCAAGGATGAACTAAAAAAAGCAAATGGAAATAAATGTTGATATAGCATCTGTGTTGCTCAGCTCTACAATGAAACCCATAATAGCTGCCTCAAAAAGATTGGTCTTCCTCCTACTCAACAATACCACTTGCAATAAACTATCCCTCTCTGTCATTTTCACTCCCATTCTTGTTGTGTACTCCAAATGCCGCACGAATTTGCTAGCTGGACTTCGGTCGCAATGGGAAAATATTCCTGTATTGATACAAACGTCTAACATTGAAGAGCATAGCGAAACAGGGTGAACTGGGTTGTGCCTTCTGATACATTGTTCTGCAACACGGAGCATTGCATTAATCGAAATAGATTAATTCACACAGCCTGTTTCTTAAGCTACAGTCAATAAATGTCGGTGTCTGGCACTGTTAAAGTTTCCCTTTTATTGATCCCTCACGTAATGCAATGGCACTTATTTTAGATAGATGGACACGAATTACAACTTTCCTGGGGACAAACTAAGCACAAAAACCTTAAAAAATACGAGATGTTAGTAGGGACTATAAAGCTCCGTACATAAGAGGAGGAAAACAGTGTGCCTATCTGACACTGTTAGTTTGAGTTCATCGCCATTTTTGGTTCGTTCGAGCGGACGCTGACGCCTGAATCTTCCCCTTGACTTCTGACTTCGAACTAAGTGGAGGGAATATCAAGTTGAGGGTGTTCTCCTACCAGCTGAAGCGCGATAGTTTGTGCTCCTGTAGCCCAACAGTGCCCACGCGTCTGTGTGACCAACAATGGGCAGTTTCGAAAGAATCCCATGGATCTTGAAGGAGTTTTGAAACATTCTGAAGAGCAGGCATGATGTTTAATATTACGACAAGTGGTGGTATGAAATGGTTTGGCCCGATGAAAATTCTTTGCAAAAGGAATCTTTCCCGGCTTCATACTTACATCACAGAACATATGAAACAGACACGAGGTCAATAGTTATACATCAGTGCGCTTGAATCCGTATGGTAAAGAAACTATCAGCCTCTATGAATAGCGCATATGTGTCGCACACCTCTGTCAAAATGACCGCACCTGAAATGTACCGGCTTGTCAAATGTACCAAATCGTGTATGGTTCTATTCTGTCAGATTGTTTTCTACTGAGATTTTACGCCCAAGTGCACACCGGTTTAATCCCACAGGAATAGTTTAACTGTGACCATTTTTAGTATCGTCATGGCGGGTTTGGATGGAGGCGCCATCAAGATTACCTATGAAGTGTTTGCAATCCAACTGGCAAGCTCGGCAAACGGACCAACAAAAAGCTTTTATGATTGTTGATTGGAATCTCCTGAGAGCTCCTCCCTCCAACTTCCAGATCAGGGCCTGTGTCTGATTCGTTCGAAAAATTAAACTTGTCTAATGCTTATTGTTTACATCTCCGGGCCGACGCTTTAACTTAGAGAACAACAGTCGTTTCACCGCATAAAATTCACTTTTTGTCCCCAACACTTGATCAAAGGTGCTATAACGGAGCTTGAGTCCCACGACTCAGTACTTCGTCTTTGTGCGATCTACATATTCCAGCTTTGTCTCACTCCTGTTGCATTGTCGCTCACGAATATACCACAAGTGACAGTGTTTCTTGCATGAATGCAAAGATCCGTTTGGAGATTCTAGTGTTTAGCTGCCTGATTTGTTTTTACGCTTTGTAATCATCTTTGAACTATGCCTGGCTTCAATTTTCGGAGACGCGTAATTAAAAGTGAGTGACCCGTATGACCAATAGCTTGCCATAAACAGTCGGAACGGATATATTCTCGGATTCTACAGTTTGCAATCCTTCGCATCCTCACTAACTGGCTGAGTTGTCCACAATTACGAATGCTTTATGGTGTTTTGGATTGTATAGTACATAGGCCTTCCAAGCTCAACAGGACAGTGTGTAGCTTAGGCAGCAAGTCAGAGATGGTAACAACCCTTCTTTGAAAGTTCGGGTTTAAAAAGTCCTCAGAGAGAGAGAGAGAACCTGATGAGCCCCAAGAAGGGCGAAACCGGTCGTGGGCTGTCGAAGAGTCTTCAGCAACCTTGTGAGTAATTTCCTTTATGAAAAGAGAGAGGGAGGCTTTGACGGCATCTAAGTCATGAAATGACGAACACACAAGAAAATACTGATATTCTCGTTTACTTAGGTTGGTAATCGGTCACGAAAACGAGGCCGTCTTTCGTGCTTAAAGTAGCACTCTGTGTCAGAGCGTTTGCAACCAGAAAAGGCTTAGCCGTAATTCTGTTGGCTGAACTGAATGACAGGGGATGGGGTAAAAAACGGGCTTCACGGAAACACCGTTCCCCTTCTAGATAGGCTTCGTGCTTGGTGAGACTGAGTCCCCTTGACCGATTTAGTTAAGTATCTCAACATGTGATGGGCACTTCGTCAGTAAGCCTTCATGGAGGATTAAAATGCGTCAAAGCTAGATGTCCTTTAGAGAGGCATCTTTTTCGAAGTAATTTTACTCTAGGTACTAACAAAACTTTGGAATTTAGATTTGAAATGTCGATGGATGCTTGTAATTGCAATCATTTGCAGAATGCTTTGCGCATCTGAATCCTTGCAATAAATTGAAATGTTGATGTACCCGAAGGATGTGCACCTAATAACATTGCCTGAAAGGTTTGAAATTCTTGATGTAACCTAAGAGGAAAGCCAGGTTTTTTAGTGCAAAGTAATTTGGGTTGATTTTAAAATGAAACATTTCTGTAATGAAGTCAGTGTAACCTTGCAAACTCTCGTTCTACAACAACAAAAAACTCACAGTTCACTTTGGCTGTTACCTTCATTCTGTTATTCTGTGAAGTTGCTTGACGCGGTGAGACATAATTTAGGTGCAGTGCTGACCAACCGTTCAAATCACCCCAGCTAAGACTTCAGTTGTAAAAGGCAAACAATCAGTTCGCCGGAATACTTGCGAGAACTAGTGATCATTAAGCACTGACCGGCCACGCCTGCTTCTGTTTGGAAGACAAACGTTTTACCTGTTTGTCACTCATCTCCGAAACATGCGAACTGATTCTGCGTATTTTTCAACAGTCGCAAATAAGTGGCACCTCACCTTTCTCGTTACATACTAAATCAACAATGGTAAACTTTTAGTGTTCCTTAGTGTGATTTGTCAGTCCGAACTTCTTCAAGATATCCATGCTTAATTGGTTAGTCATTATAGCTGTTTTCCGACCATTTGTCCGAAAATGCACGGGAAGCAGACTTGCTTTCTTGTCCACAAATGGCGACGCGTACATATGCGGTTCACTGCATTGTTTTCACTGACGTTTTTCTTGGGTAAACTAGCTTTTATAAAGTATCGACATGGTATCGCCCCTTTTGTTTCATCTTCCAAACTTTTGGAAAATATGTTGTTCACGGTATCTTTTAGCCATTGGTGTAGTTATCAAATTTCCAGCGGTTAATGACAATACATAGCTTCAGTTAGAATCCTGAAAATTTCCATTGGCAGTGATCAACGTCAACTGCGTTCATATAGGTGCATGTTTGGATACGGTCGCTTAGACAAAAGCCTCCGGCTTAAAACGCTTTCTCAGAATGGTATCCAACTGACTTTACGCAGGGATCTCGCTCAAATACACTATGTGAATTCATCTTTGCATTCAGTGGACAGAATTGCCGTGATTATTAGTATTATTGAAGTTTTGCAATACTACCATTGACGCGGTGAGCTAATTTCGCGTGAAGGAAAGGAGAACTGTTAAGTGTGATCGAACGAAGGACCATGATAATCCTGCTGACACGTTTGCTACTGTAACTGTTGCTCGCAAGTCTGCATGCAAGTACACTAGACTTCTTACTTAAGATGGTTACCTATCAGAAACATGAGTGTATAATCAGAGTATTCATTAAAAATAGGAATCTTACTGTTGGACCACATGAAAACAGGCGTTCAGTGGTGTGTGATCATCGAAGCAATTGCTTTTTCTCCCCCCTGAGTAGCAGAACATTTTGACGGAATTCCACTGTGCTCCCACTAGGATTTGAACAAGGAGTTAGAGACAAACACGGCATATACATAATCGCTCGAGTTCACACGGCACTTATTATAAAATATGACTGCACGCGATGCAATACAATCTAATGTCAGTCACTATTCCATCCTTATGATGGCCAGCAAAACGCTTTTCATTACTTCCAATGCAAATTTAACTATGTATCGAATCTGGGTAGTTCAGTAGGGGAACAGCATGGTTCAAATGAACGGCCCTAAAATCATACTGAACCTCATTCAGATTGTACGCGATCAATCCAATAAACCAAACATGGCTTGCGCGTTTTAGTAAATTATATATATATATAAAGGTATATAAAGTACCTGAAAGACACTTATGGCGCTAAAATTCACCTGGGTTAGGCCATTTTTATCACACCTTGTTTGGATGGAACTCACAGATTCCTGATTTAATTGGACAGGCGATTCGTGTCTCCAACGTGTGATCACTTGAAACCCATACCCACAGCTGCAGATTATGAAACCGTTTACCAGTGTTATTCATCAGGTGGGCTTCCTTGAAAGCAATCTTTTGCTATTTCTGGCATCTATGCTGGTCAGCGTTGTTTTCCATTCCATTTCTTGAAATCATGTTCTAAAGTTCCGCATTTGTTGACTCAAACGGTTTGGTATTTCGTGCAATCAAGATGGAACTCGTTCGAGTACCCATCTGAGAACGCAACGTTTGTAATCATGGTGCGTAAGTGCAATGTAGGTTCAGTAATTGATCAGTGCGACCGAGTAGACGAGTTAGCGCTCCACACCGCCTCATTACGGAGCACGACATCCTATTGTGCGAAATCTGGAGCAATAAAAAACAGGCTGAACCACTGAATTTGTGACAAGTTGAAGATTTTAGCTTTCCTTGTCGAGTTAGAGCTGTGATAATGGTGAATGGCGCAGAAGATCAAGCCTTTTGAAATCTACATTAGACGAATGCGATATTGTGTGTTTAGCAAACTCTCAATGTTAACATTCTAAGTGACGCAACTATGTAAAGAAAGCTCAATATCAGGGGAATAATAAATAATGAGTTACGACGTGAGAGTCCATGCTCGTCAGATAAATGACGGTCGATTCCCGAATCAGCGGTAATTTTCGTTCAGTTGTCCGCGAAAATCAACCAGATTGATGATAATTCAGCGTAACGGTGCTTTAATCTGCCCTACCCATTTAACTCTATCAAATCAGGCTATCCCAGTGATTTCACCGCAGAAGATCAAGCCTTTTGAAATCTACATTAGACGAATGCGATATTGTGTGTTTAGCAAACTCTCAATGTTAACATTCTAAGTGACGCAACTATGTAAAGAAAGCTCAATATCAGGGGAATAATAAATAATGAGTTACGACGTGAGAGTCCATGCTCGTCAGATAAATGACGGTCGATTCCCGAATCAGCGGTAATTTTCGTTCAGTTGTCCGCGAAAATCAACCAGATTGATGATAATTCAGCGTAACGGTGCTTTAATCTGCCCTACCCATTTAACCCAATCAAATCAGGCTATCCCATATGATTTCACTGTGCCAACACCTTACTAAATCCGGCTGCTCAATGCCGTCAGTAAATTAGATGCAATTATCGTAAATTCTCGGGGAGGCTGGGATATAGATCCGAATACATTTGCCTAATAGTTTACCAAGCGTTGGCTATGTGTATCGAAGAGGAAAACAAATATGCCTAAATTTGCTGTTTTTTATACCTAATTCAGACTGAACTAATCGGTTTTCGGAAACCTTGTACCGACAGAATATACTACTTATAATGTCTCCTTAAAACTTCCGGCAGTCCACAACCGGTTTTAGCAATCATGGGACTTGTCAGATAGGCACAGGAGATGTGGTTCAGTCTCCCATTAACACATCAGTGGCGTACAATTTGGCGCACATGTTTGATGAATGTGAGTAAGGGAGAAGCCCTTCGTCAGCTGCCCAAGCGTTTTCACCAACATTATGAATAGTATGTTCCGTCAGGAAGTAGTCCCATGCCTCGGATATCGTACTAACTTATACTTGAAGCAGGCTTTCGGAAACACATTCAGTGCAGGGTTATCATAAGCGATAGAGTCAGTTGAGATTCAGTTGGGTCTCTCGTTATCACCACCATTGTGGCTTCTTACTGCAGGAAGTGGAAAAAAACTGCCAGAAATTAAATGGCCCATTGTCCCTTTGCATAACACTTTGCACACCATCCGTAACACATACCGTCTGACCAAATAAAATTGAAGACTTTTTTCTACTTGGGAGCTTGTTATGGTTCATGCTAGCGTTCATGTGATTTTCACTACTGTCCATTACATGCGGTCGATCACATGTAGTGACATGTGTTTCGGCATCCGTTGTGCATTCTCCCACGAGAAGGGACTGGCTTTTTACGAATAATATGCATACCCCAAGTAATGTTATTCTCATGTGGAGTCACCTTAGGATAGAGCGTTCTTTTCCTTTCTGTGGGCATCATTGTTGAACAATCGTCAGCTTACTGTATCGTACGTGGCATGGTTAGGAAGACATAATTTACGATACTTTTAGAAACGCTCCGACTTCGGCGACATCTCGGCTATCTGTTTATTTTTTATTTCAAGACTCGTGTTGCCTCCGTAACTCAACTGTAGCTTGCTAGCGTAGATAGGCACAAAGCTGATTTCGTTCATTAAGAGCACTTATCTACGTTCACTAATAGGCTTTCTTCACCCTAAATGAATCTGAAGCGGTAGGTCTTCAGGATCTGTTTGCTACTAAAAATGAGATAACTTTCACCAAAACAATAATACGGACGTCTGAGGTGAAGATATCCGCCTGGTATTCACAAGTGTCGAACTAGCTCGTCCTGCAAATTAGCATTCACATAATATACCTCAGCTATGGGATGGACTAGCAGTTCTTCTCGAGTGCTTATTCACTGTTGTTTTCATCATTCCCCACTGATGGTGTTTTTGAACAAGGTGACTGCTCCGTCACCAGCAAATTTCCTCGTCAATTTCGTGAGAATTCTGTCCTCTATCTAATCTCCATAGACACGTTTCACTGTTCATTTCCGTACGTGAGTGGCAAAATGCACATACCAGGTCAGTATCACTTTCGCCTGCTAATAAATTACTCTGCGGTTTACCTTTTCTACACAAGCCCCTTTTACTGTGTTTAATGATCGTGGATCGAACGGTAGCTTGTGACTCAACTCTAATTTTATTCGCTGATTAAGGAATTTCTTCGCATGGATGCTTCAGTAGCAACAAAGATAAGCATTCCTCAGAATGATTTTCGAAAATATTCCACTCAAGAATACCATCTGAAACACGGCTCATAAGGCCTCGTCATCATCCTTTATGCCACAAGCCACACGTCACACAAAGCATAACGTTTTTGAATTTGCGACAAAACCAATATCATTGATTCTAACCCAATGGGGTACTGTTTCAGTTCGCCCCAAACCTTACCATACAATGACTATGACAGTCAACATGGAGTGAGTCGCAAAGCAACTCGCGGTAGAGTACGCGTCTTTCGTAAATCGAATTCGGCGGAGACTAGCCAGCTGATTGGGCTTCCATTGAATCCATCTGGACGGTCCGGTCTGCAAGGCAAAGGTCTACTTCCACACTGGGGACCCAATCACGCGGTGACTGTAGCACTGACGCGTGCACATCCGGACGGTATAATATGGAATAATCTCCCAGTAATCCAAGTGGCTGTGCTCTGCAGAAATCAGAATTTCTGCCTTCCCTGGGTAGGTTTCTTTTTACAGTTATATGTTGTACTAGACCCTGTCGAAGACACGAAAACTTTTTCTCAAAGGTTACCTTCAGAGATTGCCGCTGATATAGAATTTTTTGTTTCTTCGAGTTTTGAAAACCCACTGGAGCAGGCACGTATACTCTTGCATCGTCTTTCACATATCTAGCATATTCCCGAGAATACACTGCTGACTGAACCCTTCTAAACTAGACACTGCCTCTCACAACTGTTCATGTCGAGATAACCAGTGCCTGACAATACCACCTATTGGTGCTAAGGAACCGTGGTAATTCTCAAAGGATTGCTCAGTGGAATTTGTGCAACGACCTGACAATATTCTTAACTTATCGCGATAGACAACTTCACATGTCAAGGTCAGTTGTCCAGAGTTGTTTACTCTCCTGCGGGACGTGTTGAATCAACATTCAAGTTCTACTGGAGTGACTTAAGACTATCGCACCAATTCTGAAAACCCTGAAACAACGTAACCTGGAAAAAGAACGAACTGGACAAACAAATACAAATTCCTATTGTATTCAAGGTACGCATATTAGAATCCCTTTACTAACCTCATTCAACTGTAATCACTTTCCTAGATCAAATAGTATTGTTATGAATATACTATGTTCTGTTCTGCTCTGATGCCGGGGGGTATTTTGCCAACAGCAAGCAAAATTAGATGGGTTCATTCGGGCTAAATCTGATGTTGACGGAGCAAGCACTATTACTGATCACGTTGACTTCCAATTTTCAGTACCTTATCGACCACAGAGCAGACTGCGAGTTTCACGAATGCACACCAAATGTTATCCGAGCACTCTTCACGCGACGCGTGTATAATATGATCCCTGACAAAGACGAGGCAAAGGCTATTTTGACAAGCTTGAAAGCCGCTAACATATCACTGGTAAGCGGAAATATTTATATCTTGGGTTGCGCGAAGTAGACCTCGTCATTTCTGTTTATGTTGGCGCTTTCACTTAACTTGGGTTTATGCAAAACCTGAGCTGGAATGGTCAAAAATGTTAGTTTTTTAGACCGTTTAGGCAAGGATACACCCACTTTACATGATACATTACCTCTCTGCTCATACAAGATGGAGCATCGGCCACCAATGTAGCTCAGATGCAACTTAGCAGCACCGGGTACCCGTAAACCGTTCTCCCAGAAACCGACTCATAGCTCCAAGACACAACTTTTATGAACACCTTCTACCAAAGATAAACGGAATCCACTCACTGAAGAACCTTTGTCCATGAAGGCGCAAGAAATGTATCCGATGGTCTCTTGAGAGATGAGATAATAATTTGGAGGTGGCCCTATTTTTGACGGATCTGAACAATGAGATTATTTATATAAACTTCATTTTTTCTCCAGCTGTGTGAGAAGATCCACGACAACCTCTCGACTACGCCGCTGTTGCTTTCCTCTAATTTATGTTAATCTTGTAGGTCTAGGTCGAATTCAAACAGCCCTTGCACTTGAGTACTTTTCATATGTTCATATGTTAATACATTATTCATTTCTGTAGCAGATAAAACGGGTTTTTGTCGTGGATGATAGCCTGCACTTTCATCCAATTACTGAGTCATAAAATCAACCGAAAATTGTGGAAGGTTGATGCGCAGTTGGGTGTCGCTAGAGACTTGTTTGAATTACGAAGTTCTACAGCCTCTGTAGACTAATGGGTGATCTTTCTTATCAAAGATAACATTTGCTACATAAAACACAAGCTTTTTAACTGTGGTTAGAAGTTTACTCCATAAATACGGACAGATTTAAAAGATGGAGCTAGTATTGAAGGCTGCGAGGATCAGAACTTACAGTTGTCACAAGACTGCAGTAAAAATGTCTGTCCGAATGACCAAATTGGACGCGAATCTGTTAATTTACACTCGCCAGTTACTTCGACTCACAGGCATTGAAACGCAGCCTCAACGTACAATTGTTTGAACGCCTGCGGAGTCTAGACATGCGTTTATGGCTATATTATCCAAGCGCTTTTTTACGCCAGCCATTTGACATCTGTGAGCGTTACACGTGGTTTTGGAGACTTGCACTCAATGAAATCGATTTGTCCACTACTAGTATAGTATCTTGTCCTCGATACTCCTTTTGATAGTCTCAAATATGACCTCTCAATCGTGTGAACACTTGTCGAATCAGGTCGGACGGTGGAAACGCGGTGAAGTACACGACTGTACACATAGATGTTATGGTTTACATGTCAAACAGTTTATTTTTTATTGTCATACTCTCTGATCCAGCTTGGTGTTTGTTGTTAACGGTGGCAGGTGGTGGTGGAAGGGTTTGGTGTTTTGATAGCTGTGGATGCTGAATTCTCAAACTAGAATGTTGCAACTTTGTAAACGGTAAATTGACTGCACGGCCATTTGTGTGCGATATTGCTAAGTTTGTGACTCCTGCTTAAGCAATTTCCATCCACTGTTGCAATTAAACTTCTGTCAGTATCACCATTAATTCGCTGGAATTGCTGAGTGGCTTGCTGTAGGCCCACATAAGCACTGCGTTCTGGTTTTGCATTTCATGCAGGTTAGCACTGGATTTCTTCATGATCACCTGAATGCCGACCACGCGTGGATTGAAACAGTCTTTTTGAACATTCAAGAAAACTCGCAAAACGCTTTTCGACCTGAACTATTAAAAGTGAGTAGACTTGTTCGACTGTACACTGTTCGACAGTACCCAACTAGCCTGCCATTCTTTCATGGATCAGCTCATCAGCGCTGAGCAACCTGTTGATGCAATCTTTCCAACGGATTTGAAGGCGTGTCTTATGTCATAGCCGTTTTCACGCAGATTTTCTAGTCTGTAGACTGGTGTTCATTCACTTGTACATAAACCTGTTTACTTACAGCTTCCTTACTGTTTTATCCATCGTTTTGTTTAGGTTTTTGTTGAAAATGACGCCAGTGAACAAGTTATTTGGCTCGACGTTTGCCATCAAATTGGGATGCGTTCCAGTCACGATGAGTTACTCAGAAGATTGGCTCTACACTGCAAAGCCTATTTCAATGAGGAACCGGGACAGGAAGAGTACGATTAAACGTCAGTTTCCAAGCGACTCCTAAATCGATAGCAGCCCCTTTCGGACATTCATCAGGGCACTGGCCCAAGTAGTTATTAGCAATGTAACTGTCATAGATAATTTGGCTAAATGATGGCATAGTGCACATTGCCGTTTCCTCGGAATACATACTGAAATCAGTATATGCTTTGCGTCAAATTGTCTTCCGTCGACTGAATAAGAACAGCGCTGCTTAGTTATCAGCGATCGGGGTCAGTGAAAGGGTACCTAATGCTTTTTGTGACTGTTTTGCACGTCATCCACAAGTTAACCAAAAGGAGTATACTGAATTTCGTAGATGCATCATTGGTAATATGATTTTAGGTCTTGCTTTAAAAAAAACTTTTCTGTGTTACTTTTTGTTTGAGAAGGTATTGATTTCGTTTCTCTCTGAACCTTCATTGCAATGAGGCAATAGCTGGATAACGCCAACAAATCAGCTCAACAAATACTCCACACCGGCTGCCGGCAGTGCCGCTTTTCCTTTAATCTCGTGACAACAATAAGTGCTTCCCGCGCTTTTCTACTACTATCTCCTTGGAAAACTGTCCAACGAATCCTGGTAAATAACTGGATTTATTCTAGTGTGAGGAATCAACGAAGTGATTAGGCCGTTCCTCATAACTCTCATCAGTGCGTGTTTTAGACTGCTGTTCTTGATGTTACGTTGATATCCACGTTGCTGACGTGAGGAGAAACCGATCCACTGGGTGCTTTCACTCTCAACAAGAAAACATGAGTTGAGATGATTAGGCTGTGAAAGATGATGTCAGTGAGACTAGAAGTGGACATTTTAAGTGAGCACTGCGGAGAATGAGCGAATGATTGTACAGTGCATGCAGCTCATGGTGTTTCACTGTCCCTCAGTCCTCCGCTGAGCGGTATAACGCCTTCACGCTGGTACTCCCCCATGAATTACAGAACATCCTCAGGGGAGGATATTACCCACTGCCCACATAATCCACCGCAGCAACGTAGGGGCTTGGAGCTTAGTTATTCTAACTCTTTAACTTTAACGGTTTGCACCTCTAAACAACAGGGACCCATCCAATGTGGCATCTAATCGGTAAAGAAATGATCGTCGAAGCCCTCGGATTTGCCATAGGTTGGCCTCAACAAAATGTACGCGACAAATATTATCTCAAAGCGTACCGTACTTGGGGAGTTCGAACAGGCCTTGAGGTCAAGAGCAGTTGAAAAATGTTTTGTTACCAGAATAAAGCAGACGTCCGATCCGTAAGCCATACGAACGTTTGGGGGGGGGGGCGGCAAATATTCAGTTAGATAATCGATGAAAATGAGCCATTCGCAGCCGACCAAACAGCCTTTCGACTACGAATTTCTCCAAGCTATACGACAATTGAATACGTCATGCTATCATTGTGTCAATAGATGATGTCAAGTTGCGCGAAATTAACCAATGTAACAAACCGATCAGAGGTGACAAAGTCAAATGGCAATAAGAGTTCTATTTAATTTGCACAGTATTACAGAAAAACTTTCGTTATTTCGAAAATCAACTTTAAAAGGAGTCATCCCAACGGATCATTTCTGACAGATTAGTTTTACCGAATTCGCGAAATAAACTCATTTGCAAGTTAATTCGGTTTTAAACGAAAATCTCAACTAAATCCAACATGAATCTCTCGTTTACGATGTTCTTCAACTAAGCGTGCTACTCGCAGGCCACTTCGTGCTTTAGTTGATACGTACGATATTCGAGAAACGGCGGTATATTTTCTTGACGGAATAAAATACACAGAGTTCCTGATAACTCTTCATAAGGGATTTGCCATCGAAATCGCTTGTGAATGAGTATATTGCGCGAATTTCGCGGAACTGGCTTCCAATTACAATGTAAGACCAACTAAAACTCGTGGACGGAGCTTATCTGATGGGTTCCAAGGACCGTGAGGTTTCGAGGTGTACAGCGCCCTTGTTGGCAGTGTGTTCCATCAAAAAGCCATACATTGTCTTTGGACTTATGGAATTCGAATTCGAAAAACTTCCTTATGAACATACTTTTTCTGTCCCCGTGCAACCACCCCGGTTTGCTCACACCAAAGCCAGAAAGGACTGGGCTGAAGATTTTTGTTTCAGACCTAGTAATTGGTTAAGCAATTATGGTTTTTAAATCCAAGTATTGTCTGGGTAGACCACGGTAACAATAGGGCAGTTCTGTGAACGAAACTAAACGTCGGCTCTGTACTTATGCGGATCTGGATCAAAGTTGCTACACTCACTTCTGTTTCGTGGGTGATCCTACGACAGATACATTTCAACCACACAAAATGTAACATAAGAAACGAGGAATGATCGTACCGTTTTGACCCATGTCCAGGGCGCTCAAGTTTCTGACGTACCAGTTTTGATCAATGAGTATATAACATCTACTGACAAACACCACACTTCTGTTGACGCAGTGGTTTTAATAATCCTTGGCCGGGGTATCTGTAAACATGCCACTTCTGATGGGTTTTTTTCTCACCCGGAAAGTGTATCCGCTGTAAGAGTTCACAAATCATGCAAACCTATGCGGATACCACTGAAGTGGGTGAATTCATGGAACTATGGTGAACGGGATCTGACAGTCACAATATTGTCTAGTTTGACCTGATAGTTGATCCTCGAGTTCATGGCTGAAGTTTGGCCTCTTAATGGAAGGCTAACCAAAACGTCAAATTTGATTCTTAGAGGATCTCAGTCTCTTTTTCAAGGTCAACCCACAGATTTAAAAGAAGGCTTCCCCTGAGCTGCACTTGGAGCGCAAGACTCCGGCGAAATAAATGGGCGAGCTTTCAAATTCGAAATTAATTGTTTCCGAAATGCATGTTTTTACCGTGCGAGAAACAGTTGTTCGATTCAACCGACTGAATGCTGACACAATTCACCGTTTCCGGTGGATAGTATAGAGATGCTTTCAGGTAGAGGAGCGTTAAAATGAACAGCGTATTCGTGGAGACCAAATTGGGACAGATATGAGCGTCAGACAACCTTCACTAACTAACCGGTCCAGTTACTACTACAGGAGTACGAGAAGTTTTACATATAATATGTCAAACAAAATGCTGGGGTTGCTGGAAATCACTCTTTGACCTGAAGTTTTGAAATCCAGTTCGGTAAATGTAAATGTTAGAAACCCTAAACTGATATCAGGACTAGAACTGGTGGACATAGAAACCGAAAAAGTGCTCCTAAATTACCTTCTGTTTTCATGTAAGAAAGTTCAAGAATTGTTATTTCAATTGGATACCATCCGGTTGGAAAATTGATGCCTGCTTCTACAGAATTTATAGTTTCTAAACCCTTTCGCTTATGGTCAGAATAAAGATTGTTTCCAATTCCATGGGGCGCGATGACACTGTGAGTTTAGGCTGTATAGTAATGTGGATGAGTGGACGATAGCAACCGCAGAAAGTGACACCAAGAAATTCCTTGAAACTGTTCTAAAAAGTTACTCGCAGTCTTCACTGACCTTGAAAGCGCAATAGGTTCAGCACACACTTCCTTATGGATAATGCGACAGTCGCTGCTTATTGAGGCCAAAAAATTAGACAGATTGTAGCTGTAACGAAACTTCAGTGGTCCATTCTTGTGAAATGCCCAACTAACGAACAAGAGTTAGTTTCTATTCCAGTGTTTCTGTAGAGAGCCTTCACTATATCAGGCTGACTGCAGTATAAAATATTGGTTGCTATATTGACCGTATCCCTATTGAAATTTCAACCACAATAAGAGATACTTAGCCCAGAGATATTTCGGATGTTAAAATAATGCTCACCGTTACCATTGTCCAGGGAATAATACACGCTTTCTAAATAAAAACAGTGTGGTTAAAGTGCCGGATGCGGCTGTCATGAGAAATCTCAGCTATTCTGCAAAATCTCTCTGATTCGCTATAAATGCTGCATGCCACTTTTAAATTACCGAACAGCAGGTGAAAAGACATGAAACAATCAGTTGAACAGATTGTTACGAAATATAAAATTACAACTGACGATCTGACTTGTGTCGCATCACAATAAACGAAAATTGTCGAAAACTACGGGACGAGAAGTAGCCTGTAAATCACTACTTCTTTAGCAATCATCTAGTCATTAATGAGGAGTCTGTGGGGTTTCTAGGAAAACACGCAGAAAATTGTGCACAACGCTATTTTTTCTAATAGACAATTGCAAAATGAATGCAAAATAAATATATAACTATCGCAGCTCACCGAATTCCGGCTCTGTTAGCTTCTGTCCGACAAGCTTTCCTTAAACTTTTCGCTTTCAAAACATTTATGTTCCGTGACTGATACTCATTTCATCTTGGGCAGAACGGTACCAATTTACAATACAAGTAAAGCATACAAGACAAATTGGCTAGCCCCAAGTATGAATTGGGCTGTTGCGCAACAACAGCAGTACTGGTTTGGCGGTCGCGAATGTTCAACAGAATGATATATCACAAATTCGCAAGGATATAAAGAATGATCATTTGCACTGTTGGTTAACAATGCAGCTGGAATCCTTCTCAGATGAAAGCATCGATGTGTGTTCACGTGTCTGTGGAGATGGATTGAAACGTTTTCAAGCAAAATCACTTAACGAGGTCTCATATAAAATGTCGAACAAATTTACTTCTCCTCTATTTTATATGAAAGTGCATAGAGGGAAAGTGATTTTGAAATTCGTTTAAGTTGAGTTTTCTAACGTTCTAGGAAATTTAGAGGAACCTTTTGAGCAACAATCACACCTACCCAGTGAATCATCCTGATCATTTGGGATGACAAGTTTCGTTTAATCGTTGTAGGGATCATCTCATATTCCTTGCGAGGACACTTAAAAACTGCCTTGAAATGACTCGATTAAGTGTAAAAGAATGAGTATAAGTTGTGTGCGAAGTGGCGAGATTCTAGATTTTAGACTGATTTGAAATTCTTTCCAACAGAAACCCCTCACGAGGCTGTGTGAAAACCTGTTTTGCATATTTGTAAT